TCCCTCCCGCCGCCCCCCCGGCACCTCCTCTCTCCGTCCCTCCCTCCTCCTCCTCCTCTCCCGGTGCGCGGCCATTGCAGTGACCCCGGCCGGCCGAGGATGATCACGAACACGCGGGGCTTCTTGTGGTCGGACCTGGAGACGCGGGCGCTGCTGGAGATCTGGGGCGAGGCGGACGTGCAGTCGGCGCTGGACGGCAACTTTCGGAACAGCCATGTGTACCGGGACGTGGCGTGCCGCCTGGCCGAGCTGGGCTTCGAGCGCACCCCGGAGCAGTGCCGCATCCGCATCAAGGGCCTCAAAAGGCAGTACTACCAGGCCCGGGACGGGCTGAAGAAGAACGGGCACGCCCGCAAGATCTGCAAGTACTACGACGAGATGGACCGAATCCTCAGCTGCAGGGGGGGGCCCGACGGAGCACCCGAACCGCCGCCCCCTCTGCCCGACGGTCCGCAGCCCCTCGGAGGGCCGCCCAGCCCGGGCGCGCTGCACAACGGCCGCGACAACGACCCCGAGGCGGACGAGGACGCCGGGCTCGAGTCCCCCCGCGACAACTTCGCCGAGGACTCCGGGGAGTGCTCCTCGTACGCCGAGCGCCCCATCAAGGTGGAGTGCCCCCCCTTCGCCATCCCGGTGCCTCCCGGAGACGGTGAGTAGCGAGCGGCCCCCCCTCAGCCCTGCCTGTGCAGCCCCGGCCCTGCACCTTGCGCGTCCTCGGCAGCCTCGGCCCCGCGGGAGGGGAGGGGAGGGGAAGGAGGCAGCGCCGGGAGGTTCTATTGGTGTTCAGCGGCGGGGAACCGAGGGAACGCCGGCGCAGAGCTGAGGACGCTGCTGGTAGTGCTGTGCGAGGACGCGGCTGTCCTTCTCACCCAAGGGTTTTCCCGTTCCCTTTGGGTTACGGTGATGATGGAGATCCCACTGAAAAATCTGCTTATTGTTGCAGATGGGGCAGAAGGCGAGGGGGGAGCTTTTACGTAACAAATTGCTTGAGTTCTTCCATCAGCGCTTCTCCAACTTCAGCAGGCGCACAGCCATCAGCCTTCACGCAGTGCCTGCCCCTTCCTCCTTGTCCTTTCCCCGCAGCTCCCTGTCCGGAGGGGGAGGGTTGAAGGGGGGGGGGGGGGAGGGAGGGCAGCGCTGTTTGTTTGTTTTAAATCTAGATTAACGCTGGGCTTTAATACAAACATGAACCTGTCTTCAGTGGTTGACATCACTGAGGCATCAGCCAATTGGTTGACGTTTAACCAACCTTCTTTTTACACATAAACCCCATCAAAGAGTTGTTTACACTCGTATGCTTTTGAAATGCAAATCCAGAATGCCAACAGACTGAAACTCAATTTAGATTAATGTAATTACCTGCAATACACAAATGAGCCTATACTATTTAATGGCCTTCACTTAAACCTTTTTAGAAGATCAAAAAGGCTCCTATTGTTGAAGTTCAGTACTACAACAATTAAAAGATGTCTGCGTGATTTTTGTGCTGCCTTTGTAACTTTATAGAAGGCCGTGGGTATTTTTGCTTAGGTACTCTGAAATAAAAATGTCTGAAATAATAGCAGTTTGCAGTGAAAGCGTAATAACGTTGGGACGCATTAGGTCCACGTTTCATAGGGAGAGTTTTTTTGCTGCTTTCTTCTTAGTCCCTCAGAAAAATAATTCTCTCTCCTCTTGTTTTAGGCTTTAAAGAAATGAGCGCTCCGACCGTTACCCCGCCTCTCAGTCAGCCCAAAAGATCAAAAAAGCGCCACGCAAATTTAACGTTGGATAAAATGATGGAGAAATTCCTGCAGCAGAGCGTGGATACAGAAGAAAAATTTTATAGATACGAAGAGCAGAGGCTCAAAATTGAGGACAAACGTCGTGAAGCTGAGCACGCTCGAGAGCTCCAGATGCTGCAGATGTTGGGACAGATGTTGTCAGGAATTTCTTCGACGGTATCACAAAGGGCACAGTCTATACCAACGAGTCCACCTCAGAGAGCAAACCATCGTTCATATGGGGATAACTTTAATTATAATGCTATGACAGCAGCACTTTCTCCACCGATAGGTACTTCCTTCTATAGCATAAATAAAAGCGAGTCTTTTTTAAAGTTCTGTGTGAAAGCCCTGTTAGTAAGTAGCTTTTGCAAATAAAAGGTAGTTGGAATTATTTAATATTGTGGTGAAGGTGTCTGTCTGATGTCAAATGGAATTAAAACGTCGTTTGTACCATTGTACTGATTATTTAATATAGATATGTTAGTTACAACAAATCTCCTTGACTGAATTAATGCTTTTCAAACTCTATAAACGTTGGGCTCTTCTTTCCACATTCACATCTCTGTGAAATGAAGTTAAGGAAGTTTTATATACAAAAGGCAGGTGGGAAGGGGAAGTATTTTGTAGCAGAAGTTCTGCTGTTGCTGAAGCTAACAGGCCTTACTCAGCGTGTGAAGTTAAGAATGTGCATACGTTTTGTCCATGTTGGGAAGGGAGTGGCATTTTGCCCGCGCTCCAGAAAAGTCAAATGTTAAAATCCAGCTTCTTGAAAACTAATTTCATTAAATAAAAATTACCGGTCTCCTCAGTAAATATCGCATTACTGCAGCAGATATGGTATGATATGGAAACGTTGGCATTGCTTTTTATTCTCTATCAGTTCATTTATAAATTCTTTGGGGGTCTGAATTTGATTTTATAGAGAAAGACAAAGCAAATGCTCTTGAATTAATCGCACAGACCTTGTCTTCTGTAACACGTGTGGGCCAGAAGTTGACGATCAGATCCTAGCATTTATTACCAGACTTTCTAGAGCCGTGGTTCTTGTGTCATTTATGTAGTCTCCTTATGTGGAGGTATGCTGTGTGGGCAGGAGGAAGGCTGGTATTTGGCTGGTGCTGAAACCAGACTGAGCCTGGGGCTCGGTGGTTGTAGCCTGCTGTGTGAAAACAAGTCTCTTTGGGTTTAATTCCGAACTTCACGCTGCTTGAAAGAGAAATTGTGGTTCGAAAAGAAAAAAATACAACACCCAAACTCACAGCATTGAATAATAACTCCACGCTTTGGATCCTAAAAGGTGCACACTGATTCCTGAGAGGATCTTGGAGGCTTTACCATTCTGTGTTAAATATGCTGTGTGTCCCAATAGATGGGTTGGGAACTGGATGTTCAGGCCTGCTAGGGGCTTAGGGTAGGTGTTTTCTGTAGGATAGTTAGTCTGCAGAATTTCTCAATGTCTGAAGGCTTTTCTAGATAAATTACAGCAAGTGTATGGATTCTGTGTGTAAATGTTTCCTGTGGAAGGAAACCTGAAGTGCTTTAGAAAATCTCTGAGGAAATCATTGGATGTTCTACACTGGTGTGACAGTACCTGTAAGGGTTTACCACTGCTTTTAAGAAACGTTTTTTGCCAGAAGTTGGAGGAGTTTTATTAACTATAAAGGCTTGAAACTACTATTTAGTGTCTTTTATTGGGTTTCCTTCTGCGGGTGTACAGTTAGACTGCACTGTGCAGTAATGCATTGCATATATCCCACTGTATTGAGTTTGAATCTTTTAAATGTTGAGGGTGTAACAAAGTGTTTGCAGTGAAGTGCTGAAAATGAAGCACTTCAGGCAGCACATCCTTTAAGGAATTAGGATTTCAGCTGTTCATAGCTAAGTGTGCCCCAGTGTGTACATAGGTAAGCGGGACTCTATTGAAAATTCCTTTCTGGCAATTCTGTTTTCTTTCTGTTTGTTACATAATTGCTTATATTTACAAGAACCAGCAGCAAACGAACAGAGGACTTTCTGAAGTCCTCCTGAGGTGGAAGATAGGTATGTTTCTTGTGTGGTTGAAAGCCAGTTAATGTATGAAATGTGATTCAAAGAAAATAATTTGCCCTGTTTCCAGAGGTGATGAGTGTTTTGTTTTACTCTGGGTTGCTGCAATGCTATTTTGGCCATGGTCCAAAACAGGGTGGATTTAATTTTTTTTTTTTTTTTTTTATCTCAGTAGAAGAGGAATGCCTGTATTATAGAAGGATTTTAGAAGCAAAAGATCAGCCAGGAGTATTTATCGTTATGGAACACTAAAGCATTCTATTACTGAAGATTAGCCTGTCTGGTTTAGGTTTAGATTCTCCAGAGGATGGAGAAAAAGATGCTTTCTGCTGATAGTGCACAGTTGCAGTTTTTCTTGCTTAGTACATTTTTCTTTCATTTTCTGGTACAGTTTTTTCTTCTCCAATTTTTGGGGCTGGGCTTACAAAATGTTACACAGCTGGAAGCCTGGACTATAGTGCAAGTTATTATTACTTAATTCTCTGTTAATATTTAGCAGTTCCTTGAAAGCTTCTTAGAAGTTCTGTGAGAAAAGAAACCTGACTGAAGTGTAGGAGTAGCTTTCCAATTATATAAACTGCAATTCTGAACAGATTTTGTGCAGATATCAGGAGTTGTGTCAAAATACAAGAGTTTTATTTTTTTAGTTTATGGCTAGTATATTGTCCAATATTTTGTCCATTTAAGTACTGATCTTTGAATTTGCCCTGCCTTGTGTGAACTGTTTAATACTTTTTAGTTATGTCGTATAATTGCTGAAATATGTTTTTCATCTACATTTTTATAGTCTTCTGAAACAGCAATTTGAATGCACAGCCTTCTGAGTGTATGGTTGGTTTAATATGTAGTTTCACATGTAACTTTGTATCAGAAATCAGTAGCTGCATCCTAGCTAAAAATTATGGGTTTTGTAATGCTTGCAGCCAGTGCAATTGAATTAGTTTTGCAGAATGGCTTCTGTTATGCTCTGTATCCACCTGCCAAAATAAAGCAGTGAGATAGGCCCTGAGTTTGCTAAGAGGTGGAAGTCTGTGAGGGGAAATGGAAATAAGGTAGGGTATCAATATGGAATGTGGGTTTGGCTGTATGAGTACTCGTCTCATGTCCAGGTGTGTTAAGTGCTCACCAAGTGTACCTACTGCAGTTAAGCTGAATTGTGGAAAATGATTTGAGACTGAACTAAGAAGGTAGCCTTGTGAACATTTTGCAACTTAAACTATTCTGGGGGGTTGTTTCTTTCTGTTCTTGAGCCCTAAGACTGTGAGTGGTGGGAATACTCACTGCATCAAACTTGAAATGCATGTAAAAAAATGATCACCTTCTCTAGTTGCTTGGTGTTTTAAAAGCCTTTAGGTGGTAAATCTTTGGTTTTTTACAAGGATGTCAGTTTGTGAATCTTTGAGTGACTTTGTTACTGTTTGAGTGCTTAAATGCTGATGTTTAAGAAAGAGCATATTTTAAAGTAATACTTCTTTTTTCAGTTATAGAGAGATCTTTTTCACTGCACCGAAATCACACTCTAAAGGATATGGAGAATATTTTTCAACTGGTGCGCAACGTTATCCCTCCTCTAACTGGGAAGAGGCATAAAGGTCAAGATGGACGTATAGGCATTGTTGGAGGATGTCGAGAGTAAGTTAATCAGAAATTGGAGCGTTGTTTCCAAGAGGTTGAAGATGTCATTACTGCTTGTAGACGCCATTTAATCTTGCCTTACATTTAAAACACGAGTATTTTTCACAGTGCTTTACTGGTCCATCCTCGTGATCTTTCTTGTGAATGGTCATGTTGCCCAGAGGTCATGACACAAACTTTCAGTCATGAGTGTGACTGAAACTTAGAGTGCAATTTGTACCTCTTTCTACCTTCTCAGTCATTTTTGACCATGGTAACACTCTGCATTCAATATTAATGTCTTTTCCCATTGCATGATGAGGTTATAGAAGTAAATGGACTAGAATAAGACAGTTGATCTTCGTTGTATTTTGGTATCTTGGGAACTAGATCTCTCAAGTCAGGAATAGAAGGTTGCTGAGATCATCTTACTGTACATTTATTATTTTGATGAATTATGTTGTTTACTAGATTTTATATCCTGATTTATGTTCTCGAGCAATAGAAATAGCATGCTTCAGAAAAAAAAAAAAAACAACAATATAAATCAGTTATATTGATCTAGAAATAAAACCTCTGTTCTGTTTCTTGGCCACTTTCAGTAATGTGTACAATACTTTGAACCTTCCTGTTGTTAATTTTCCCCTTTCAAAATAGAAGTGGCATCTTTCTTCTGTGAAAGAGATCTGCCGTTGGAGATCTGCCATTATATAAAGAGCAAAATGTGCTGTATTGGCTAGACTGGAATTCGTTTTCCTTTTGGTCTGCTAGGCTTGGGTTCTTACCTCTTGGCCCAAGCAGACACCTCTTAGAATGAGCCTGCCTGTACCTTGCTCTTCAGTCTTCATAAAGAGAATTCAGGGCAACTGGAATCATGGTTTAGGCAATTTGGTTAAGCATCTGAAACCAGATGGGAGTGATCTACGTCGTGGATCTCAGACTTGGCTTGCAAACAGTACTCAATTGTTTTTCTCTTTTATTTGTCTGTTTTCAAACTTTTTAAGTTGATTGTCTGAAAAGAATTTGCTTTTCTACATCATGGTCTTTATAAATATTCCTGTGAAGAGATCAGGTGACTAAAGTAGCTTCTTTGAAATGAAAGCAAAATTTGAGATTGGCTTCAGTGAAGCAAGATTTTTATCTTCTTTGTCAGTAAACAAAGCTTTTTAATTTACCCTCAAATCTGAGTCTTCTTTAAGGCAGACTGATTTCCAGTTTGTCTAACCTCATGAATGTGTTTCCTAATCTAAATTGTTTTTCATTTCATTCTAGATACACAGGAGCACCATATTTTGCTGCAATTACAGCTCTCAAAGTGGTATGTGTTCTTCTATATCAATCCAAAATGAACTTTTCATCATTTATGTTGGCTAAGTGCCATTTCATAAAAGCATTCAGTCTGTGCTGTGCTTGAAATTGGAGTTCTAAAAGGTCTTCTATTGAACAAAGAAAATCCTCAGTTTTGGATTTGTAGAAGTACTTTGTATGGATATGTCACTTGCTGCTTCCTGTAAATATTTTCTCTGTATAACATATAGGTAGAGATACGCCAAAAAAATGGAAGGTTTTAGGGAGAAAACTGTTTTATCAGAAGCTTGGATAGTAAATCTGAAAACTTGCTGAAGTAGTTTCTCAAATAAGTTTAGGTTAGTGTTTACAGTTGCATTTTCAGTGTTGCAGTCAGAATTCTTGGTAAGCATTGAATGAAGTAACCTTCTTTTGAAATCATAGAATCATAGAATGGTCTGGAATGAAAAGAACCTTAAAGATCATCAAGTTTCAACCCTCTCCTATGTGCAGGGTCACCAACCACTAGACCAGGCTGCCCAGAGCCACATCCAGCCTGACCTTGAATGCTCCCAGGGATGGGGCACTATGCAGCTTTAGGCTTGTAAAATTCTTTGGTGCTGTAAGTCTAAACATTGTTGGTTGAATTCAACGTATCTTTATAATAGCACACTTAATTTACATTATAATCTTTAGCAGAAGTATTTTCCAGGTTTATTTTTTTTCCTGGAAATGTCAACTTCCTTATTTTAGTGACAAAATTAAATGACTAAAGATAAACTTACTGCACACTACATGAATACTGTGGTGATTATTCAAATGTACCCAAAACATGCTTACATAATATGTATATTTTTCAGAGCTCTATGATCAGTGCTTTCCATTCATTGTGCTCCTTTTGTAGGTTTGTTTGAATAAGTACCAATTCAGTACTTACTCAGTATTTCCTCCCACCACAATCTACCCCCCCCCCCCCCAAACTTGCAGTCTTTCAAGGATTTTTTAACTGAAATCATATCATTTATTAATCTTCTATAAATAGTAGAAACTACTCAGCCTTCTATTCACTATGTGCAAATACAGAAGTACATTATGGGAGTCCCCTCTTTGAGTAGCTTGGTCTCAGCTCATTGCAGCTTCACATAAGGAATCATGGGATCATATTTATGAATTGCTTAGTAGCTTGAAATGTTAAATGTACAAGTAGTAAAGCAGAGGAGACGCTTTTTAAACTTTGGAAATTTCAACATGGAAGACAGATAGCAGATCAGGTTTCCTACATATTACATATTTTTAAAGTGTATTTGTGATTTTTTTGAGTTGTTAATGGAAGCTTGAGACTAAGCCCCTTGGCTTCGTTTAGCTGAAGGGAAGTTGTTGAAATTGTGCCAGACTTTATCTGGTATGGATTTGGCCCATTGAGTGAAAATGATAGGGCTGGAATAGTACTCAGAGATTGTCATAGCTGTGTTTTGCAAGTGTAGTACCTTATTATTTTCCTTTCTCAGTGTAGCTTGTCTCTTGTTCAATTCTGTTCTCTTGCCTTTTTTTCTTATTGTGTGTGTGTTGTTTTAATCTTTACTAATCTGCAAATGAGAACCATTGTTCAGGTGAGCAAAGATTCAAAATCTGTGTTTTCAGTCATCCCACTGGTAAGAAACAGAAGAAAATGTTTTGGAGTTTAGGTGCAAATATAAGTTTTCTCTAAAATATTGCATGTTACACTAGGTTGAAATAGAAAAAACGAGAAAAGTTCCCTTTAACTACTGAGAAATAGGAAAAGAGGTGAATTATTTGCTGACTAAGCTTTGGAATTCTGAAGTTGTCGCTGTATAATTGATAATTATTTTTGCAATTTTTCTTTTTAGGGTGCAGATTTATCCCATGTGTTTTGTACCAAAGATGCAGCAACAGTAATCAAATCATATAGTCCCGAGCTGATTGTTCATCCAGTTCTGTAAGTGATTTCTGTTTTGTTTAAATGAGTGAGTCAGGAGTAGTGGTTTGAACATTTCAGTCTGACACTTGATTAGTTTACATTAGTTTATGCTTACTCTCACTTTTCTTCATAAGTGTCTTGCTTTATTAGATACACAGCTGCTGCTGGGAATAGAAGGAAAAGATTTATTAACAAGAAGGTAAAAAGTTTAATAACCAACTCTCTTAATCGGGAAGATCCGTTTGTGCTTCCCTGTCTTTGAGTTATGAAATGCGTCAGGGATGGATGAACTTGAAGTGGTTAAATTGTTTCATTGAGGTGTTACAGTGGTTACAGTAACATGGTGTTTGTCTGCTACCATATGATAACTTAAAAAGACAGAAAATCTCCATGGGCCTCTTAGCTTCTCACTTTGGTTGTCTTGGTGAGTGCCACTTGGAGTACAGCATATGGCTGCCTTCTATGGGAAGGGTTGACCTGGCCTTCAGGGGAGCAGTTTTAGGGTTCTTGATATCTGTGGTGATACAGAAGTTTTATATGAAGAAGCAAAGCAGCAGAATCAAAAACAGATGTGACCATGAACAGTAGAAATATCTGAACAGCAAAATTTCTGTTCGTGGGGAACTGAATTGTGCCTACTGAATGGAGATTTTTTACTATGTAGGTTCTCTGTGTTGTCTGTGGAATTCAGATTCCAGTGAAGACTTTAATCCTTCTATTTGCAAAGAGAACTTCTGAGTTAAACTTCAGCTTTTCTATGAATTCCTGTAGATGTACAAAGTATGATGAATCTGGCAGTTTTCATATCCATATTGTATTAAGACTGAAAATCAATGATAATGTGTTTTACTTTTATTACAACTCTGATTAATTTCACCCAGGCAGCTGGCTAATTATGTGAATCTGTGGTTCTGTAAACATTGCTTATATGACATTAAAAATGAGAAAAACATGCAAATATCAGAATGTTCAGAATTTACTTGTTAAAGCATCTCTTTTTTTCGATCTCTTCTGAAAGCAGTCTTCTTCAGTTAGAAAGGAAGAAATTTTGACTGACTGTACTGAGCCCAGGCTTTAGTCAAATTTACTCTAACAGCCTGTTTTTCCTGCAAAATACTTCGTCTCCGATGTCACATTTTTATATGATGTTTTCTATGTACTGAAGCAGTTTGAGTCCTGCTAGCATTGCTGGCTGCTCTTGATTCAGAGCCTAATCAAGTCTTTGTACTTTCTCCTGAGCCACGCTTCATGCATGGGAGAAACTCTGGGTAAAAACCACTGAGCTATGACATTGTTTTCTTTTGTGTCCTTCCCTAAAACTTTGCTTTGTTATAATTTCTCTGTGACCCTTCAGAGTAACTAGGTAGCTGTTGTACCACTCTCTTATTATGCTAATCATAATTATGGCCCCGTGTACTTCTCAATTCACTGTTTGAACAGCTTGGCGTTTCGCCAGGGTTCAACTGCCATTTTGTACAGCCAGAAGTCTGACATTTTATCATCTCCTCGGCAACTCGGCTGCTGCTACCTTTCTGTACAGCCTTCACCTCAAGGGGGATCAACTTAAGGAAGGAACATCTTTTTGTTGCTGCCCTCTGAATGTAGAGGCTCTTCTGGCTCATTAGAGCTGCTGCAGTTGATCTTTGATGGCAGGACTAGCAGAGGTGTGTGAGAGCTAGACGTTGTGCTAGTCTGTTTCAGGTCCTTGGCAAATGCCTGTCGCTTCAAGGATGTCAAGAACATTATGTGTGAAGGATTGAGTAGGATTGTAGAAGGAGAGTTATGAAAATAACCATCCCTCTTGCAGAATTACCAGGGTAATTCCCTGTGGCCACGGCTGCAGATCATCCCAGATTCATTTAAAGTGTAACGACTTGTGCTAGAGACACCCTATGATGCAAGTTTCTCTTGTAATTTATCTTGTGACTTCAGTGTTTCTGTGTGTGAAGGTAAAAGAGCCAGAACTGCATTTTGCAGCCTGGGACTGGGGAAGATAAAGCTTTAACACCTGGCTCTGTGTGTCCTCACTGCCTGAGTTGAATAACGTTCACTGTATTTCTAAGGAACAATGAATTGTCAGTATTATCTATAGCGATATTTCCTTCTTATTCAGGGGTTCTATCAAAGGCATCATTGATGACTTGGTAGTAGTAAAAGTAGCAATAATAATTTAACCAGCTATCCAGTTCAGTATTTTTGCTGTCTGACTTTTTGCTTACCTGTGGAGAACTAAAAATTACAGAAGTCAAGGTCCTTTGGAGAACGGACTGCACTGTGTTTTAGTCAGATCTGCCTTGCTCTTCCTATTGCCAACCATGTTTTGTGCTACATTTTTCTGGTTTTGTTTGTTTGTTTGTTTTTTAATCATGCTCTTACTATGAACTTTACACAAATAGAGACAAGATCATACTGTAATGTGAAAGCCAAGGTTTATTGCAAGCATGTCAATTCTTTGGCTTAGTTCATGTCGAGGAGACTTCTTCAATGCCTGTATTGAGTTACCTTATCCTCTCTTGATAGGCCAGTGATCACAGAGTTGAGTTGAATGAGCTATATGAACCCAGCTGGCTATATTTGAAAAGACAAAATAAATCTGTTCTGTTAGATTGCCTCTTAGGAAAACTTTTTCGCAGTTTTTCTTTGGCCCTTTCTCATTCAAAATGTGGAAAGGAGATTCGAAAACATTGTTGGTTTGCGGAAGGAGGCTCATAGCTTTTAGTTTTGTTAAGACTAGCTATTAAACACAGTGGGACTAAACTCTATTTTGAGTAATCTGCTGGAAGAAGTGAAAGGATTTTTGTCACTAAAGCAAGTCAGAGAAAGAGCACAGGTTGCTCTGATTACCAGAAAGACACCTCCTGAATGTCTTGGTTGCTGGATCCTTACATACCTGCAGTGATAAAAGCATGCATAAACTGTGTGATGTTTATCTGAAACCATATTTAGACAGCAGCCTGGCTAGGAATCACATGAGAAAGTTGTGTTTGTTTGTTTGTTTGTTTTTCTTTCCGAAGCACTTAGGGTGAGATAAAGGTCAGTTTGCATGTGTGCTGACTCAGAGGAGTATACTTAAGCTGCTTCTAATCATGTCATGCAGCACCGTGGACAAAACTTATTTACAGACCTGTGTTCTGTATCCAGTGTTCTTGGGAAGAAAAGCTGCTGCTTCTTGCCTTTACGCTGCCAAGTGAATAGAAGAAAGGAGATGCATTCACCTCATACTCTCTCTTTCTTCCCTATTGCTGCAAGGGTTCTCATCCCAGGTGAGAACTTACAGATAGAGGTGAAGCTAAAGATTTGTGGTGTTGCTGTGGTGACTCTATTCTTGCTGCTTCTTGATACATAAAAAAGAGAAGCATACATGTGTAGACACATTATATTCCAGTTAGGTCATGGAATAAAATCATCCTTCTGAATGTTTGCCATGCTGCTGTGATTTGACATCAGCATTAGATTTCTTTGGTATTCAATCTTTCTTGAGTTTGAGTGAAGAAAGGCATGCCTGGTATTTTCTTTATTTATTATTGGAAGCTTTTAGGGTCTTATTCTTTTTTTTTTAGCTGTCAGTTATCAAAACATGTTTTGACTGAAACTTATTCTCATGTGTGTCCACAGCTGATTTGAAGTACTCTAGCCTTCTAGGTATTGGTTCAACTATAATCTCTACCTTAGGATTCAAATGTAAACTAAAGAGTGATATCAAAGTGATAGAAACTTGGCACTTTATCAGCCAACATTTAAAAAAAAAAAGAAAGGAAAGGAAAAAAAAAAAGCGTGCATTTGTTTTTCTAGGGGCAATGCTGTTTCATTTTGAGAAAGGTTACCTTGTCAACTCAGCTTCATGCTGTGACTTATAAAATCACAGATTTGGTTTGATTGCAGTCATTCCATTTGGGAGAGATTTTGACAGATTCTACTTACAAAGGCAGTTAAAGGAAGTATTAATAGGTCAGGACTGCTTCTGTGAACACTAAAATGTGAAAACAGTTGAGTTGAGACATTTGGTTGTTATTTTACTTTTGGGGGGGACTGCTGTAACACACAGCGGAATGTAATCTACATCAGAACGTACTATAACTGCTTTGAAGATTAGGATACATCTAAAAGAAGACAGTAAAATAATTGTGGTATCTTTACAAAAGGCTGGAGGGGCTGCCCTTGAGTGCTGTTGCCATGTCTGTGTGAGAAATCTCCAAAAGCAGATTTAAGTGATAGCTTCTTTTCCTTTGGGACTCTTTCTCACAGGATATGAGATGCTCTGATCTGAATAAGAGAAGTGACTCCATTTGTGTAGTGAGTTGAGGTTCATAGAAAAGGAGGCTGTGGTTGGGTCTGTTACCTATAGTGCACTGACAGTATACATGGTGAAATGGAAGATCTCATGCCTGTATGAGAGTCTTTGGTGTCTGAGTAGCAGCTGTGGAATATGTTTGGGGTTTTATCAATAAGTATGGTATGGTATGGTAAATAAGGCATTTTTTTTGCAAGTATATACTTTGATAGGTCATTCACACTCTCTCTACCTTGAAGGTGGAACATGGAGCAAGGCTGTGGAATATGCAGATTGAGAGCAGTCTTTTGCCATGAGTGTGGGAGGCACCACTGCTTCTCTCAGCTGCTGGATTGCTGTTCTTGCTGCTATGTTGTTGATGTTCTAATGAGACCTGTCATGTATACATTTTGGCATGTAAGTTAGTTTATCCAATGACTGAAGAGGAATAATTAATTTTAGTATGATTCAATCCCTCCCTCATTAGGAGGGATTTTTTTTTTTCTGTTTTCCTCCCTGTCATTTAGTCAGAATGTAGCAAGAAAATAAGTACTGTTTATGCAACATTTGCAGATCAAACACTGTATAAGTTGCTTTCAACAGCCCAGTAGGTGAAAATGATGATTTTGTCTTCTAAAGTTCCTTTTTGGAATTTTAATGTATTTAATTCACTAAATATCTCTTTTTGTCTCAAAATGCATCCAGCCAACTTCACGATGCTGTCATCACTGAGATTCGCTCCACCTCA